GCATCTGATTCGACAGAGCACTGATCCCGGCTGTTCCCCTAGGCAACGTGAATTGTTTCGCTCAATTGCAACACGAATCGCGTCCTGGTCAACGAAAACCGTAATCCGATCGGATCTGCCCGAACTGATGGATTCCGGCATCGGTTGTCCTGACTATTCCGCACAACCTGCTGTTGCCTGCAGCAAATCGGGCAATCCGTCCAACCTGTCCGACTGGTCAAGTGTTGACGAGCTACCGGTAGGTTTCTTCGTTGATTGATGACTAGTCTAAATATGCTCACAACACTACTGAGGGGACGAATCATTTGACAAACAACTGTGTTTGATGATTCCTAATCAGGCTCTTGCCAATCATGTAGGAGAAAAGTGTTTACTTCACCCCCAATGTTTTCATCAGGGGAATNCCCAATGTTTTCATCAGGGGAATGTTGACCGTATCTCCAACTCCATTCTAGGTCATCTTGTGGACTCGAGAAACCCAAGGTCGAACCGGATAAGGCGCTCAACGTAGTGTATCGCATCACAGTGAATCGATCACCGAAGAGGACACGAAATTGGGGCACTGGTCAAGTGGTCGCCATGAGAACATTTTGCCCGAACCGGCTGCGCCGATTCAAGACAGGCGTTTCAGCTGTCTTGTCTTAGTGAGGCAGAATACAATGTGTTACTCAACCAGAGTAAAAACTGGTCACACAAACTGGTCAACTGTCCAATGATTATCATTGGGTCAAAATCTATCAGCCGTTTGTTTCGAAAAAGCATAAGCAGGAATGATCAAAATCAAGTGTTTCCTCACTGATTTATTTAATCGGTCAGTGATAGGTTGTCCAGTGTTTTTAGGCTGACAACAGCTCAGTTACATGCCCCGCATAGTGCAAATCGAGCTGATTTACACTCCCCACTGAGAATGGGCTACAAAAGAGCTCGTCTCATGAGAATATTGTGAAGGTGTACGATAGAGCCTACACCACGCGGTGTTGCACATGTAGCGCTTTCAGTAATGCCACCATATACGAAGAATTCATAGGCCCTGATCCTGCAGGGGAAAATATTCAGTGTATAACACAGAACGTGCAACACGACAGTACAATGCTGACAAGACAGGAATGAGCCGCTAAAACCCACAGTGCACAATAACAAAGAACGAATGAAGTGAGAAACAGAAGCGAATACCTCGGTGATCGTGATAATCAGACAGTCTCGAATTCACTAGCCACTAATGTGTCAGACTCCATAATCATAATAACAGCTAGCTCACAGTCTGCTAGAGATAACGATGAACGAGGCAGCACGACCTGCATTAGTCACGGAAAGTTAGTCACATTTACGGCGCGAGCTGTTTCATCCATGCATACATACATTTTCTCTGCTTCCGAGCATAACGAAACACTGATACGAAAAATCAGAGAAGTCACACAGTTGGCCGATCGGCTATCAGCAGAAGTGGGCTAGCCACAAAGTTCAACAAAGATGGAAAAATAATATTTTCATTATTGATGGACTATTTTATGAAAACAATTAAAGTCATATGCAGAGCCTGAAGCTTCTAACCTGTACAACAATGGTCCTGTTTCACTGAAATGAAGTAGCTTTTACCACGTGATCAAAAGTATTGATCATCACGTGATCGGGTTTCAAGTAGTTGGTCTTGTATCAGGCATTGAACGTATTCCATGAAATATATCCTTTATGTAGGCATTTGGCATGACCCAGGTGTAACCTACAATACTTCATCAATGAAAAACACCACCCGTCACCCGTGGTTGGTATGAAATAGACAAAAGAAGAGGACAGATCAACTCAGAATTCTTCGTGTTGGTTCAATGTGTGTTTAATCGATATCTTCCACAGATTCGATCATTATCCATTGATTGTAGAGCATTCCTCGTGCAATCANCAACGTGCCTTCTACGATTTGGTCGGTACGGGGCCGCAGTGCACGAATTTCGTGAACCGAATGGGATCGCGGTTCTCCCAGACGGTACGATTGCGGTGGCCGACGGGAATGCGGAAATGATCAAGGTACGCAGAAGGTGAACACTCATTGTTGTCCGGTCAGGCATTGTAATCATAAACTTACAGTCATCTGGTAATCTGACAGACGTGATAGTGATGTTGATGATGTATGGCAGTGAACTTCGAATGTGAAACCTAATTGAGACTACGTTACCACCAAAATTACCTATCCGTTGAAGTAATCGTCATCATTATCATCAACATCACCGGAAATGAATTCGCTTGCTGGTCTGAACAGACGTGCTTCTGCGCTTTCTTATTGGTCTATCTTATTTGGTCCATAGGTTCACATGAAAAACCTCCAATTTATGTTTGCTTTTAATCAAATGAAGAGACAAACACATGTCTTCAACTGATGAACGGTATCAGTCAGTGATACTTCCAGCTTGTGAAGTATTCATGTAGTTTTGTGTCCAAATGAATGCATAAATCTAGTTTTCAAGCCACATTTGTGCGCATTAATTTACCAATCGATGTAGCCGTCATTCGCTGTTTCGCTTTCAATAAGTACGCATCAGTCACTTTGTCTACACAGGATTTGAAACAGCGCAGATTTGTGGTATGATCGGTTAATTACCTTGATGCTTAGTCACGTGTTTTAGTTGAAAGTACCCCGTTGACTGTAAACAAATGATATGTGTTATGTTAGTCAACTAGCCGCTCTGTGTACCTCTCGTGATTGTAAGGGTGGTGTTGGAATACCTACGCGAAACGCTTGTACCATCATTCACTTTAAAAACTGCATACTTCGCAATTGTGCTATCTGGTAAGTGATTCACAAACACAAAGGGATAACGTTCAGAACAGTAATGAACCTATTCTTCGATGGATTAAATTGATCAATATTTGGGGGGAGGGCTATTGTGACTCACTGCTTAGTCATTTCGAATCATTTTTGAAAGGTTCTGAGTGGTGTCATCAATGGAGTTGGCCCTGATTTATTTTAAGCTGTAGTCACTTGAGTATATGGTTTCCGTCACAACTGATTGCACAGCTTGTTTGACAGTCCATTCAAAAATGCGTACTTCCCTCGTTCTATCCATAGTATGAAACGGCCTCCTGGAAAATAATGCATCAATATGAAACGAAAATGATCGATCGTGTTACATTTTGCAATGTGGTTGAATAAAAAGGTAACCAAAACAGCTAGGACTGTTTTAAGGAGAATTTCACTCTCCCTGAGATAAAACAACAAACCGCCTCTTCGGCAACATTATTTTTCA